CTAAATGAGCTCTACAAAATAAAAAAAGATCATTCGAATTGGATGACTAGATGGCCGGCATATTTAATTTCTATTCATAAAATCAATATTGCCTCGGAGGGTCATTTTCCTAGCAAAGATCCATATAGGCTATATCCCTCGGATATTTTACATTCCACCATATAATATTTTTGAGAGGTCCGCGCTATACGATATATAAATTTAAAGGTTATCGTTCATCACCAGTATGATACTCCAATTAAACAAAACAAATACACGCCACTCTGACTATGTCGACGTCTGGATATACCAATATTTTTTAAAATTTTGAACCTATATACTAATATGAAAATGTCTCTGGTTAAACTGACACCTGGATATATCGATCGATTTCTTTATTTTTTTGAGATGGCGATATAACCAAAGTGACATGTAGTAAGAGTTAGATAAAATTAGATTACCTAATTCAAAACTTCTTATCGAGTTTTTTTTTATTAGAATTAAAGGAAGAATCAGGTGGTAGTGGGGTGATGTCATAGAAAGACTTTTACTTTTTAAAAAAAATCTAACTGCAAAGAATAAATAAAAGAGCATAAAGTTTTATTAGGGTCGAACTCCACTATTAAAAATAAGCAAACCCCTTTTTTTGCTTTAGAGAAGTTAGTATAATAACAACTTCTGAAAATTAGATAGAATTAGGTTATTATCATGCTAACTTCTCTAAAACAAAAAGTTATTTTTAATAGTGGAGTCCTACGACACTAATAAAACTATACTTTTTTTTTCTTTGATTTTTTTTTTTAAAAGTGTAAAATTAAATTGATTTAAAAGTCTTTCTATGAGAGTGATGAACTACTAATTTATTTTAACGTTAAAATTTAATTAGAAATTTATGTTTAATAGAGAATATCCTCTTTTCTTATTACTTGCTGTGGATGATGAAGTGAATAAACGGTTTCAAAGATCGTAAGTATTATTATGTTAGATCTTTTTTTTTTATTAATAAACTATTTACTTTTTATTATAAATAATAGCAAAATGGGTGATTTTCAAGAGTTTTTAACTAAAAATGATCGTTTATGGAATAAAACTCAAAATAATTTCTATGGCTGATTTTATCATAATCCCCTCGAAGGAAGATATTCATGATCAACTTAGTCAGATAATCCGAGACGTTAATTCAAAAAAAATATTTCGACCATCAAAAGATGAATATTTTATGCGTTTAGCAGAAGTAGTAGGATTAAGAACTAATTGTATGAAACGTAAAGTTGGATGTGTATTAGCATATCGGCCGATTTTTGAAATTTATAAATAGAGTGTATTTTTTAAAAACTTCAAAGCTAAATAACTTCTGATTTACTTATCC